TAAGGGGACCAAAGGTAAAAAGAAAAAGAGAAAAAATTTACCAAAACCATTCTTTGATATGGTAGAAGAACTCAATCTAGTGGATATTTGGCGGGTTCTGCACCCATATCAGAGGCAGTATACATATTATTCTAATCCTAAGAAATCTTGGTCTAGGATTGATATGATGTGGATAAGCAGAGATATAGGGTTAGATATTAAGTCAACAGAAATCATGCCCAACATTTGGGCAGACCATAATCCATTAGAGGTTAAATGGGAATGAAGAAATACAAGATGGAGATTAAATAATCAATTTCTAAAGGACAAGCAAAATGTTGAGAAAGTAAAAAAAGAATTAAATCTATTTTTTGAAGTAAATGAAAAGGAAGCAACATCTCGAGGTATCATATGGGATACAATGAAAGCATATATAAGAGGACTAGCAATATCGTATAGTGCACACAGGAATAAGGAAAGAAGAGAGAGGCAGAAGGCACTGATAGAAGAATTAGGGAAAGCCGAGAGGGAACTACAACATAAACCAGATAATAAGGATGTTAAAGAAAATTGGATGGTTATACGGCACAAATTAAATGTTATAGATCAAGAGGAATTGGCGTACAAAATGAAACGAACCAAACAATATTATTTTGAAAATGCAAACAAACCGGGCAGGTGGCTGTCCTATAGGTTAAAAAAAGAAAAAGAGAAAGGCATAATTCATCAATTGGAAGACCCGGAAGGCCACCTCAACAATAAACAGGAAGATAAATTGGAGATTGCCCGAGAGTATTATGCGGCTCTGTATGCGGAACAACAAATTCCTAATGAAAAGGTGGTCCAATACTTGTCAAAAGAAAACCTTCCAAAAATTGGGGAAGAGGATAAAGAAATACTTAATAAAGAAATAACGATGACAGAATTAAGGATGGTAATATCAAAACTTAAAAAGAACAAATCCCCAGGCCCAGATGGACTTCCAGGGGAATTTTATAAAAATTCGGATTTGGGAGAAATTTTGTTACCAAAGTTGTTAGAAATTTATAATGAGGCCCTAACAGAATCCAAAATTCCAAAATCATGGAGAGAGGCGTATATTACCCTCCTCCAAAAAGAAGGAGAAGACCCAAAATTAATTAAAAATTACAGACCGATATCCCTCCTGAATACGGACTACAAAATCTATATGGGTATTTTAGCAGGAAGGTTAAAAATAATTTTGAATAAAATAATACACAGTGACCAAAATGGATTCCTCCCTGGGAGGCAAATCAGGAACAATACAAGGATGATAATAGACATATTGGAATACTATGAGGAACACCCGAACAAAGAAATGGCATTGGTCTTTGTCGACGCCCAAAAGGCATTCGACAATCTTAATTGGCAATTTATGAAACAACAAATTATCCAAATGGAATTCGGATCAAATTTTGTCAATACGATATCCACAATCTATCAAAAACAAAAGGCTAACATATTACTGAATGGAGAATTAACTAAGGCTTTTCAAATTAGAAAAGGGGTCCGACAAGGGTGCCCTCTATCCCCACTTCTATTTATCTTAGCACTAGAAGTATTCTTGAGAAAGATTAGGAACAATAATGAAATAAAGGGTCTGACAATCAGAAAAGAGATATATAAGACACAGGCATTTGCAGATGATGTGGTATTAATCATGGAAGAACCATTAGAATCAGGCACTAAAATTTTGGAAGAATTGGGCAATTACGGGGAGGTAGCAGGCCTTAAATTAAATAAATCCAAAACTAAATTATTAACAAAAAATATGACGGAGGTGAGGAAAAAAGTACTGGAAGAATCAATGGAGATCCAAACCGCCAAGAAGGTAAAATACCTGGGGGTCTGGATTTCATCAAGGTGCTCGGCCCTCAGAGAGGATAATTATTTACCATTGATTAGAAATATTAAACAGGATCTGGAAAAGTGGGGAAGACTACAGATATCATTATTAGGCAGAATCGCGGCAATAAAAATGAGCATATTACCCAAGTTATTGTATCTATTCCGAATGGTCCCTGTTAAATTAGATAAAACATTCTTTCTGGAGCTCAATAGCATCATCAGGAAATTTATTTGGGAGGGAAAGAAACCAAGGATAGCAATTAGGAATTTACAGGACAAGAAGGAAAGAGGGGGTTTCGGATTACCTAAATGGGAGTTATATCAAAAAGCTGCAAACCTAGTATGGCTGAAAGAATGGGCAACCCTGAGAAATAAAAGACTGTTAACCTTAGAAGGGTATGATCTCCAGAAGGGTTGGCATGCATATCTCTGGGATACTGGGAAGAAGATAAAAACTTACTTCCATAGACATAAAATAAGGGAGATCTTGATACAAATATGGGGAGAGATGAGACAGAAGCACTATAGGAAAATTCCGAGATGGCTTTCCACCATGGAGGCTATAATATATCCAAATGTATTAGAAATGGGTAAAACGGTCAGATACAATTAATTATTAGATGGGGGAGGAAATCTTAAAACAAGGGAAGAATTGATGGAACAAGGTATTTCTATAGACTGGTGGCCATATAACCAAATTAAATCCAGATATAAAAAAGATAAGGAGGAATTTGGCATTGAAATGAGCATAAATGGATTCGACAAGATATGGATGGGTATGGACGACAAAATTCTAGCTAAATTATATAATTACTTATTGGAGTACGATATGGCAGAGGAAGTAGTTAAAGAACCGATGTTAGCATGGGCCAAAAATATAGGACAGAATATAAATCTGAACGAATGGGACTCAATATGGAATAATAATCTTAAAATGACAAAGGCGACGGCTTATAAGGAAAACCAATACAAGCTGTTTTATAGATGGCACATGGCCCCAGCTAGGATAGCGAAGATCTACCCCAATTCGAGCCCTAAATGTTGGAAATGTGACCATCAGCAGGGTACTTTTTATCATTGCTGGTGGACATGTAATCAGGCACAAAAATTCTGGAGGATGATATGGGTGTGGATTAGAGAAATAATAAAAGAAAATTTTGATTTTGACCCAAAAGCTTTTCTCCTGGGAATTTTGAAAACTGAATATGCAAAAAAGAAAAAGTATTTAATTATACATATTCTGACAGCCGCTAGAATTTCCTTTGCCCAGTATTGGAAAGAAAAACAAATACCACCTCAAGAACATGTTATTGGAAAAATATTGGAGTGCGCCGAAATGAACAAATTGACTTCAGAAATTAATGACAGAGAAGATTCAGAATTTTATAGCGTGTGGGACATGTGGTACGAATGGATGGGGGAAAGAAATAAAGAAGGTAATAGAGATTAAATATTAACTAATTAACAAAATCTATATGAATAGTATTATATTTAGTCTTAGAGAGTTGAGCACTATTATATTTAAGTGTATTGAAATTAAATCTAGCTTCAAGAAACAATATCAACAAAAGACAAGCAATAATGCATGTAGATGTATATATGTATATAATTGAACCAATGAACCGAAAATGTACCGATTGTATCACTATGTTATAATAAAAATCAAATTCAAAAAAAAAAAAAAAGAGAGAAATGTATACTAATGTGAGATAACTTTAAGAAAACTTATTATTTGTTGTAACATGCCTTAACTATATTTTGAAATACACAGATGATAGAGATAAATTGTGATCTAATTTAACAAATATGGGAAATGATGATTATTATGAAACATAATGAGAATTAACTTTGATGAATATGCTGAGACAAGATCAAATAGATAATTATGATGTAAGGGAAAAATAAAATAATGAGGTGAAGGATACTAACTAGATAAGAGTTAGAGACTCGGAGGAAATAAGTGGGAAAATAATTAAATGCTGGAAATCAGCCAAACAATGGAAGGAGTCTGGAGGAGATTATACTAGAAATTAGCCAAATAAAATATGCTGGAAGTCAGCCAAGCAATAGGAGGAGAGTTGGAGAAAAATATGCTGGAAATCAGCCAAACAATGGAAGGAGTTCTGGAGGAGATTATGCTAGAAATTAGCTAAATAAAATATGCTGGAAATCAGCCAATAATGTTGGGAGATCAGGAGGAGATAATACTGGGAATAATCTCAAAAGAGTTGATAACTTGGAGAAGAAATAAGCAATATGTTTTTTTTTGTGATAAAACTGTAATATGTGGGATATTTAATTGGAAAGTTCAAGGTATTTTGATTTGATAAAAAGGTTCAAATAACTAAGATGTCGACAAAATTGTGTTTTATAAATTTTAACAAAATGGAGATGTATTGAAATTGAACTTGATAATTTTGGTAATAAAATTGTAAGGTATATAATTAGAATAAGAGACTAGAATGTTGTTAATAATTATTTGGATATTGATGAGATATAGATACAGAGATAACGAGTTAAAATTTAATTCGAAGTCAAAACTGTAGTGATATATTAGATTTGTTTAGATGAAAGTGTTAGAATTTTATGTTTAGATTGTTTTTTTTTTCTTTTTTTCTCTCTGTTTTAAGTTTTAAATTGTTTTAAATTTTTAAAAAATGTAAAGGAAAAGTGGAATAGAGCATGTTAAAAGAATGTAAGCATGTTGGCATCTATGACCGGATTGAAACTCTGTTCTTGAAAGTTAGATTTTATGTTTATGTTTGGGAAAAAAAAAAACATTTACAAAAAAAAAAAAGACAACATGTCATTGCAACACAAAGCAAGACAAAATATGTTGCTGAGTAGGACAACTGCAACAGGCAAAAACATCCTGTCCCTGAACATCTTCCCAATCCCTCTGCAGTAATGACCCAGGGCCCAAGGATGACCACAAGACTCAATGTCAACCTTTGCTGGTCACCACACTGATCTCTTTCTTCTAAATGAAACTGTGCTACTTAGAAGACCATAAAGAGGGACTGGAATTAATGTAAGAGGAAAAAAGAAAAGATGAAATCATTTTTAATAAGTTACGTACATATCTAAGTTGTAAATAAAGAATCTAGTGACAGCTTGCTCTGACTTAAATTGTCCTCCAGAGGAACCCTTACCTAAAGAGGCCACCATCCTAGACGTTTCCAACATGACTTCTTCATGCAGGGCTTTCTGGCTGGGATCAAGCAGCAACCACTCTTCACTATTGAAATGGATGGCCACCTCCCCAAAGGACACAGGACCCTAAAGAAGGAAGGAGCCCTGTGAGAAGACTCAATAGAATTTGAAAGATCTCCTTCAATCTGAAAAACCTGAGAGCACAAAGTGAAATTTCTTGGACATTTCCCTAGTTGGACTCAACATAGTATATGATAAACAGGGCAGCATTCACATCACTTTGACTGACTCTGCTGACCTTCAATGTCAGCAACCTTCCTTGATCAAGTGGCATAGTGTGCCTTAGACACACCATCTACCAGTGGCCCCAATATTCCATCATGTTTGCAAGAGATTCCGTGGGATTTCTGTCTGACATAGTAACCTAATGGTCTTTGTGGTTCTTTGAACAGTCAACCTTGCTCACTCTCATGAACTTTCATGAAAATACTAGGAAGGCACTTCCAGCCATCAAAATGCAATTCATCAAGAGAGAAAGAGAAGAGAGAATATAACTTTGTCACTTTGAATGTATGCTAATCGGTATACATCAAAATGAAATTTTGTTGTATACAGCCCTCAAGGGTCTCCACCTCTAATAATTAAATATAAAATTATGCATATACCCACATATATGACACAAAGAAACAACACAGTTTAGTTTGGATGTATTCATGGCGAGAGAAACAAATCTTTGAAGCTTACCAGAGGGATGGCATAGGGAACAAAGCTTTTACAGAATTTGGTAGTACTGTTAGAAATATTTTGAAACCTCCTCCCAGAGGAGAGCAACAAAATGTTAAGTGTGTGTGTGTGTGTGTGTGGTCTCTAACAATATTTTGAGCTCAAAGCACATAGCGCTTATAAGCAGTATCCTGAATGATAGGAAGTGAGCCTCCTATAATCTTCTCGGCTGTCCTCACCACTCTCTGTATGGACTTTCTCTGTAAGGCACTGCAGACACCAAAGCAAACAGTGAACTAGTTTGTTAAAACACTCTCCATCGTGCCTCTGTAAAAAGTGGCGAGAGATAGAAGGAGAAACATGTGCTCTTCTCATCCGACAAAGGAAATGCAGATGCCGGTTTGCACGCTTCATTATGTGAAGAGAACAGTTCAGATTCTTTGTTATCTGCATCCCCAACACTTAATACTGTTGACCATGTCTACAGCTGCATCCTTGATACAGAGTGGAGTATGACCAGTACGGATGTTTCTAAAATCTACGATGATCTCCTTCATTTTATTAACATTTCTCCTTCTCCTGTTTTTATCCCTTTCACCAAAGATAGGAAAACAAGATTATACTTACAATAAAGTAGATTTAGGCTAAATATTCATGTCTCCTGTCTGCTTTACTAGGGATAGGCAACATGAAGTGCAATGTGGCATTATTTGAAACCAGAATTATACTGTACAACTAGTAAGGAATTCCATAGATCACCAAATCTTTGTTGAGAGGTGGGCCTAGTTTGACTGACCATAAATTTAAATTTCTAATTTTCTTGCTGTGCACTTTGCTCAAGAATAGCATATCATATGCTGAGTCCCCAAAGAAAACTAGAGGTCTCCTACTGCTCCCCCATATTAGCTCTTCCTTCCTACCTGATTTGGAAGTCCAGCAGCTCTTTCAGCTCCATATCTCCTTCAATACACAAATCCTAAAAGTCTATCGAGATTCTCAGTCGTCCATGGTCACAGTTGTCCTAAAGGTGCTTCAGCTTCTTGGATGAGAAGCAAAACGTTTTCAAAGAAAAACCAGGAAGTCCAGTTGCCTCTTGAAAAAAGCACCTTTGGGACTAAAATCCAAAGTGAAAATTCTTGATTGAACATTTCCCTAGGCGGACCCAACACATGATATAATAAAAAGGACAGAATTCACAACCTACAAAGAAAATTAGAGGTCTCCTACTGCTCCCCCATATTAGCTCTTCCTTCCTACCTGAGTTGGAAGTCCAGCAGCTCTTTCAGCTCCACCAATAGAAGATGATTCAATGAACAACGGTGACTCCATTTTGTCCACTGGGAAAGAGAGACAGGAAAGGGTTCAACTTCATCTTTTCTACCTTGAAGGCACAATTTAAGATTTCTTCCTGTCCTGCCCAGGAAACCTCCATTTTTCTCTCTTCCAATATCTGCCTTTCATAGGCTCCATCATGGGAGCCAAGAATAAAAGGAGAAGACCAAACCCACCACATGCTGAAAAACAAACCTCAGTCAGATTGTTGTCCTAACCTTTTGGAACAACACATGCAAATTTATGCTCTTGGCAACCAAAGCATTTGCTCAATCACTGTAAACTCTCCCCCCTCTCTCTGCAGTTTGAAATTAGTGATATTCTAGCAACCCAGGAAACATGCCTGCAAGGACAGTGTTGGAAATGGCCCAGCAGAGATCTGTGTAGGAATTTAGTCAAAACTTCTCTTAAGTAAAGCCAAAAACAAAGAAATCTCTCAGGATGGAGGAGGCGCCAGAATGCAACTCAAGGTGTTCCCTACAAGAGTTGGTCTTCTGGGAAAGGCCAACCACATGCTTGCTTGCTCTGAAGGGAGGGAATTCCTTTGTGCCCCTTAAGTCTTCTAGCTTGAAGAGGGAGTTCGATCTTTCTTATTGGGTCACTTTCTACTAAGTCCAAGGACTAAGACACCAGAAGACACAGAGAATTAAGGATAAGTAGAATCTTCCTAGAAAGTCTCCAATCCAGTGGAACAGTCTGCCCTTACCTAGTGAGGTATCCTGACCTTGACTTTTATCCTTGGGGATCCCTCTGAAAGAAAAATCAGTAGAAAGGTTTGTGAGATCCACCCAATTCCTCCCCATTCCTGGAAGAACCTCAGAACCTGAAATATAAGCGGAGAAGGGCAGTTAAGAGGACAGGACAAGAGGATCTGGATTTTATTTTCTGCCCACAAAACCCTTCTGTCCATCAGTGGGAGAATCGCTCCAAACGACCGACTCTTTCCAAGAACGCAGGAACAATTTCGTTAATGAGTTTCTCTAAATACCTACTCGCATTCTTAGCCTCCAAAACTCCATCAGGGAGAAATGGAAGACTTCAAGCAGGTGAAGATCCCTTCAGATTCCACAAAAGAAGCTTCTCTGACCTGCAGCTCTTCCTGCTTCTCCTCTTCTCTGCCAGGCTCAGAAGGGACCTTCCAGCCACTGGCACCGCTGGCTCTCCAAAGATCCTTCCAGTCTTCCAGGAATCGGAATCTGAAGGAGATGTGAGCAGGGGCTTGCTTTAAGGTTCCTTCTCTCCTTCCTAGTTCTTGGATTTCCCCATGCACAGCCAAGAGCAATTATGGGGCGGATTTCCCGCTCCCTCCAATGTCCTTCCCTCCCCCCTGGGGTGGATCTGAGTGACGGAATCCCGTCTTGCCCGCCCCCACCGGATTCCCAGGGAACAACTCGCAGCCGGAACTACCCAATCACGCGGACGGAGTTGCGCATGCGCAGCGGGCTAGTCAGTCGGCAGCCAAGAGCGCGCCCCCTGCTGGCACCTGGGGGGAAATCGCGGCCGTAGGGGCAGCTTTGCAGGACAGCCTCTTCCCTGAGCTGCAGCTGCCCTTCAGAGCGAGCTGTGCAAGCGGCATCCGGGAGAAGCCAGGCGGAGATCGTGGGCCTCCCCGGGTCCTGGATCGTCTCTTCTTCTCTGTATCTCGCACACAATACAATAGAACAGAACAGAACAGAATTCTTGATTGGCCAAGCGTGATTGACGCACAAGGAATTGGTCTTTGGTGCATAAGCTCTCAGTGTACATAAAAGAAAAGCTACGTTCGCCAAGAATCATCAGGTACAACACTGAATGATAGTCATAGTCAGAAATTCGGCCTGGAGACAGATGCCTCAACGGAAGGGAGGCTTCCCATTGGCGAACCGGATCCCTTAGAAGCCAACCCCGAAGTACCCCTGTCAAGCCCCCCCCCCCCAATTCCACTTCTCCCCTCTTGTGGGAAGCCTCCGTGGGCTCCGCCTGTTGCTGCTGCTGGTGGGGACGTTGGCCGGGAGGGGGGAAAGGAGGGCCCAGGGGAAGGCTGGGGGGGAGGACCATTGAGGCTTGTGGGGGCCGGGGAGAGAAGGGGACTGGGGATATCCCTCCCCTCCATGGAAGACGTGAGTGGGATGGGAGCTTTCGAGACTCCTTCCCTTTCCTCTTGGCCACGCCCCTCCCAGTGTGACTCCCAGAAGCAGCAGGAAAAGGGGTTCCGAGAGGGGTGGGAGGAGCCTATTCTGGCGGGAAGAGCGGAGAGACAGATAGTCACAGCTCTGAGGAAAGGCCACCAGGGGGGGGGGGAGGTGTTTGGGGTCCTCAGGAGGGGCTCAACTTCTCCTTTCTCTGGGTCAGAGACAGAATTGGGCCTCCTTCTCGTCCCCTCCGCCCCCCAGGAGACCTTCTCACACCCGTCGCTGAGGCGAGTGACTTGGAAGAGCCTCACACTGGATCCCCTTCAAGCCCTCAGACTCCACTCTTCCCCCCAAAGACCCTTCAGCATAACCATGGCGTTTCTTATTTACAAAGGGAAAGAGTGGAATTGCTGGCTGAAGAATATATTGGATTTATTCCATTAATACATGAATGGTATTAAATGGGAAACTATATGTAGACACTGCCTGGACCTCCCTCCCCACAACTACAAATCCTTAAAGGGCCAAAAATACCTTCCAAGTTGCAGAAAGAGGCAAAAGGCTGAAATTTTCTGGTTCCCCTTTGAGTCCTCTGGTGCAAAGGAAGAAGAGAAAGTTGGCTGAGGCACTTTCAATGCTGCATGGATTATCTCCAGATGTAAAATTATATAATTTGGAAAATATTACTAAAAATGCCAAGATTTTATAATGAGGAATGTTCCCATGTTTTGTAGGCTACAATGTCTCGTTTGCTTCTTTCAGATAAACCTACCTTGCTAATGCTTTTCTCATTCCATGGTTTTCAATGCGTCATTGTGCAACGTAAAACTGAGTCAGATCTGAAGTCATTCCACCCCCTTCTAGCACTTTCTAACATTTTATTTCACTCTCCCCCTCCTACGTATTCACCTGGTGTCTTCATTTAGTTTTATTGTTCAATGTGTATAAAGTAGGGCATCCTTTAAATTGCGCAGCAACTGTTTCCAATAATTTATTAACTTTTCAAAATGAGAAAGGTGGTTAATAATGAGGAAATGTTTTTAAGAAATATATTAAGATCAAAAATACAGTCACAATCATGCTAGTAAAAGTTTTCTCCAAAACCATAGCAACCTGACATGTCAACTATGATTGATCTTTCTGATGAACTTGGTATCAGAAAATGAAATGCAGGCAGTAAAGTGGCATTTGAAAATCTTGAGAAATAGAAAATACGGTAATGATTAATCTGAGAAACTGAACAATGAATAATTTAAATCAAGAAATTAAAAAACTTTTTAAAAAAATATTGCGCATATGGTACACTGTTGGATCAATAAAACCATTTTTAAAGTCCCTTTTAGCTGGTTGAATAGAGTAGGGTAGGGTAGAGTAAAAGTAGAGTAGAGTAGAGAGGCTCGACTAGACTGAGCTGGATGAGATCTTGGAGGCCTTCAAGCCTAGACCCCTACTCAAGGAGAACATATACTGTTTCAGACAAGTGACTGAAAAATCTCCACTGATGAAGCACCCACAACGTCTGAAAGCAAGTTGTTCCATTGGTTCATTGTTCTCACTGTTAGGAAGTTTCTCTTTAATTCCAGGTTGCTTCTCCCCTTGAGTAGTTTCCATCGGTTGCTTCTTGTCCTGCCCTCTGGTGCTTTGATTGAACTGACTGTGATATTGATGTCAATCGCATTGGCCCTCAGCTTATTATGGGTCATATGCATCCTTTGTCACTGCGTTCTTGTATTTCCCAGCTGAGCTTCATATTTTTGGACTAATAGACTTACTGTAGTTTGCCAAGTTCCTGATCAGTTTTCTTTACTGCGCATGTCCTATATTCCATTCCTTTATTACTACTCTTTCCTTTGTTCTCTCTGCCAGGAATGATCTTGGCAGAGGAATGCTGCCAAGATGTAGCTAATTAGATAGATAGATGTTTTTGTTACTTTTTACAAATAAAAGAGTTTTATTAGAGAATACTTCTTCGGGTTTTATTTCAGAATATTGCAACTTGGAGAAAGCCACGGTCCATCCTCTAATTAATGGTGAGATTATCCCAGAGCCAAAAATGGGATTAAATCATGCCCTGACATCCTTGCCTTGCTTTGTTTTGCTTGCATACACCACCTCTTCACAAAGCCTGGAGGCTGATCCCAGACTCAGTTCAGATAAAAAAATAATTAAAGATGAAAGCAGCTTGACCAAGCAGAGGTTGTGATCTTTTGGGAGAAAAGAGAGGGGCAATTGTTTTAACAGTTTTTCTTGAGTGACACCTTAACTGAATAGGTAATATCTTTTGATTTAAGAACTTCATCCTAGGAGCTTCCCAAAATCAATCCATTTATTCCGTTGCTCCTACAGCAATCTTCTGAAAGAAGATGTAATTGTTTTTACACTCCATATCTTTAGATGGTTTCATATCACAAATTAAGGATACTGCAGTCCCTTAAAGAGATCTCCCTCCCACCCTGTATGTAGTCCTGATCCGGGTCATATTAATAAGGTAAATAAGTTGACTGCTTTCCACAGGATATTTCCCCCCCCCCCTGTGGGTTCTTTCTTGAGAAGCATCCTGTTTTCACATTTCTACATTTAGAAATCCATACATTTCTATTTCCCTCCTGTGTAGATCCTCTTATGGGAACTAAGGTGACTTAGTTGCACTAGTACAATTTCTTCCGTGTCTGGGTATTAATGTAGTAAGGGACTGGCTTGTACTCAAACTCTTCCCAGATTCATTGCATACAGATGATTCTTCTCCTGTGTGGATCCTGTTATGGGAAGTAAGGGACCGCTTATCACAGAAGCCTTTCCCACATTCCAGGCATTTATAAGGTTTCTCTCCTGTGTGGGTCCTTTTATGATAAATCAGATGGCCACTTGTAGCGAAGGTCTTTCCACAGCCTGTGCACTTATAAGGTTTTTCCCCTGTATGCATCCGGTTATGGCAACTAAATTGACTGCTTCGGCTGAAACTCTTCCCACACTCTAGACATTTATAAGGCTTCTCTCCTGTGTGGATTCTTTCATGACAAGTAAGAGAACTCTTTACACTGAAGCTCTTTCCACACTCCAAGCATTTATAGGGTTTTTCCCCTGTGTGGACCCGTTTATGGGAAGCAAGGCCACAGCTTTGGCTGAAGCCCTTCCCACAGTCTAGGCATTTATAGGGTTTTTCTCCTGTGTGGACCCGTTTATGAGAAGTAAGGCTACTGCTTCGGCTGAAGCCCTTCCCACAGTCTAGGCATTTATAGGGTTTTTCTCCTGTGTGGATCCGTTTATGAGAAGTAAGAGCATTCTTTACCCTGAAGCTCTTTCCACACTCCATGCATGTATAGGGTTTCTCTCCTGTATGGACCCGTTTATGACACGCAAGGTTACTTTTTGTCCTGAAGGGTTTTCCACACTCAGTGCATTTATAAGGTTTTTCACCTGAGTGGATCCTTTTGTGGGATGTCAGATGATATCTATTTCTGTAGCTCTTTCCACACTCTATACACTTACAGGGTTTCTCGCCTGTATGAATCTTTTGATGGGAAGCAAGGCCACCACTTTGTCTAAAGCTCTTCCCACATTCTATGCATTTAAAAGGTTTCTCTCCAGTATGCATCCTTTTATGGTAAGTAAGGGAATTCTTTATACTGAAACTTTTTCCACAGTCTACACATTTATAGGGTTTTTCTCCAGTATGCATCCTTTTATGGTAAGTAAGGGAATTCTTTATACTGAAACTTTTTCCACAGTCTACACATTTATAGGGTTTTTCTCCAGTATGCATCCTTTTATGGTAAGTAAGGGAATTCTTTATACTGAAACTTTTTCCACAGTCTACACATTTATATGGTTTTTCTCCTGAATGGATCCTTCTATGGCATATCAGGTAACTACTAGTGCTGAAGCTCTTTCCACATTCTATGCATGTAAAGCGTTTTTCTCCAGTATGCATCCTTTTATGGAACATAAGGGAATTCTTCCTACTGAACCTTTTCCCACAGTCTACACATTTATAGGGTTTTTCTCCTGAATGGATCCTTCTATGGTCTATCAGGTCACTACTAATTCTGAAGCTCTTCCCACATTCTATGCATTTAAAGGATTTTTCACTATGTATCCTTTTATGGGAAGTAAGGGAACCCTTCACACGGAACCTTTGTCCACAATCCACACATTTATAGGGTTTTTCCCCTGAATGGATCCTTTTATGGCATATCAGGTAACTACTACTTGTGAAGCTCTTCCCACATTCTATGCATTTAAAAGGTTTCTCTCCAGTATGCATCCTTTTATGGTAAGTAAGGGAATTCTTTATACTGAAACTTTTTCCACAGTCTACACATTTATAGGGTTTTTCTCCAGTATGCATCCTTTTATGGTAAGTAAGGGAATTCTTTATACTGAAACCTTTACCACAGTCTACACATTTATAGGGTTTTTCTCCAGTATGCATCCTTTTATGGTAAGTAAGGGAATTCTTTATACTGAAACTTTTTCCACAGTCTACACATTTATATGGTTTTTCTCCTGAATGGATCCTTCTATGGCATATCAGGTAACTACTAGTGCTGAAGCTCTTCCCACATTCTATGCATGTAAAGCGTTTTTCTCCAGTATGCATCCTTTTATGGAACATAAGGGAATTCTTCCTACTGAACCTTTTCCCACAGTCTACACATTTATAGGGTTTTTCTCCTGAATGGATCCTTCTATGGTCTATCAGGTCACTACTAATTCTGAAGCTCTTCCCACATTCTATGCATTTAAAGGATTTTTCACTATGTATCCTTTTATGGGAAGTAAGGGAACCCTTCACACGGAACCTTTGTCCACAATCCACACATTTATAGGGTTTTTCCCCTGAATGGATCCTTTTATGGCATATCAGGTAACTACTAGTTGTGAAGCTCTTCCCACATTCTATGCATTTAAAGGGTTTTTCTCCACTATGTCTCCTTTTGTGGGAGGTTAGATAAATGTTGTCTCTGAAGCTCTTTCCACACTCTAGGCACTTATAGAGTGTTTCTGTGGTGTGGATCTTTTTATGAGAAGTTAAATTACCTTTCCACCCAACACTTTTTCCACAGTCCATAGCATTGTAGGGTTTCTCCCTTGCCTGGATCATTTTATGTGAAGTAAGATTATTACTGCAGGAGCTTTTTCCAGTTTTGCACTGGTTACTAGCATTGGGGTTTGTTTTGAATCTTTTTCTACTTTGACATTTCCCCGTATTTTCTTTGGAATCACGTTGGGTCAGGAAATGATCCATTTCCACACATTCAAGAATCGATTTTTCTCTCCAACTGTGCTTATTTGTAGATGTCTCCTCAGGAATTTCAGTTTTGATTATTTCCAATGGCACTAAATTTGTCTCTTGGTTATTTTCCTTCTGCGCATCAAATGCTTGTGGGGGAAGAAAAATAAATTAGAATAATGTACAACATACGATTTGCTGTCCCAATGCATAGATTTATCTAATACTGGCCATCTGCATAAATACCTTATGCCAGCAGACTTGAAATTCTGGGCTTAGAAAATTTAGAACTACACCGCCTTTGGTATGACCTAAGTGTAGCTCATAAAATTAACTGCTACAATGTCCTACCCGTCAAGAACTACTTCACTTTCAACCACAACAATACAGAACACACAATAGATACAAACTTAAAAGTGAACTGCTCCGAACTCGATTGCAGAAAATATGACTTCAGCAACAGAGTGGTCAATGCCAGGAATGCACTACCTGATTTTGTGGTTTCATCCCCAACCCCCCAAAATTTTAACCTAAGACTGTCTACTGTTGACCTCACCCCATTCCTAAGAGGTCTGTAAGGGGCGTGCATAAGAGCACCAGTGTGCCTACCGTTCCTGTTTTCCTGTCCTTGGTGTATTTCGCTGTGCCCTCAAGACCCTGCTGTTCCGCCAAGCCGGGCTATCAATTTAATGATTTTTCAATTGGGTTTTAAATTTTTGGGGTTTTAAATTTTAGCCAAATTGTGTAATAATTTTAATTATTTTTAACTGATGTTTGTCTTTGTGTTTTTTAATAGGCTGTACACCGCCCTGAGTCCTTCGGGAGAAGGGCGGTATAGAAATAAAATTATTTATTTATTTATTTAATGTTCCCTTTATTTGTATTCATTTTATATATTCAATTCATGCTTATACTTATATATATATTATCTAATACGTACTTGACAAATAATTAGTGATTATTTATTATTATGAATATTGGTTACTAACATCTAACCCTCATTCTTGGCAGTTAAAAGGATAAAGCAAAAACACATCTGGACATCAGGATGTGGCATACAAATTGTCTCAACTATGAGACACCCAACTTGCATTCAATAAGACAACATATGTCGGACTTCCGGTCCGGAGCGGCGGCGCCACAGTCGGGGAATTACTGGGCTCCAACGAGCCCGCTGAAACCCCGACTGACAAACTGCTGTCCGACCGGTCTTCTTGTAGGGATGGGGGGTGAAGAGGAGCGCATCGGAGGGCCAAGAGGAACAGGCAAGTTCCTCGGAGGCAAGAGGGAATCCTCAAAATCGGCGGCAGGGGTAGGCAGCCATGGCGGCTGCCACAAAGCTGCGGCAGATCGGGACACAAGATCGTGCAGGAGGAAGAAGAAAGAACGAGCGTTTCAAACCCGGGTGAGTGACGCCAACCCAGGCAAATAATGGGATTATTTGGAGTATCTTTTAAAATAAGACCCCAATTTTAAACTGCGGTTACAGATCCGTGGGGCTTGAAGATTTAAAAGAAAGGGGGGAAAAAATGGAGACCCAAGACAAACTTTGCATTAATTAATTTGGCTAGAAGAACTTGTTTTCAATAATGTGGAAAATTGGATTCTTTTTTTTTATTATTTTTCTGGTGTGGATTGAAGAAATATTTCTTTGGGAATTTAAATCTGTGAAAGCTAACCAAGTTAATGAAGATTGACAGACGGATGGCTACAAAATTGCCATGAAGTCTGCGGTGACTAAGCAGGAGAGTGGATAGAAGAGATTTTACTTTCTACTTGGAAAAGAAATATTCTAAATGGCTTTCTATTTTGGATTATTATGATTATTTTGGATTTAACATTAGACTAATGGATTTGGGAAATCTTTATCCTGTTCTGCGTGATTTTAAGAAGAAAGATCTTGGACCTTTTCTACAATGGAAATTTACAGATTTAGCAAAAAGAAGGTGTGGCGCAGGAACAAAGACAGGAAGTGAACACATCATGTTTGAAGCAGACATTTATAAGAGCACTAAAGTGATACACAGAACTTTTAATTTGAATAGATGAACTTTGAAGTGGAATATGTGGACAGACAGGAAAAAGAAGAAATAAAATAGATTTAAATTAAATGAAACTAAATTGTAATGTAATGCTTAAAAGCCTAAAGGAATAAAAGGGTTTTGTTTTTTTTTCTTGTGGATTAAACAGGAAGGTTTTTGGAAAGGGAAAAATAATAAATGGCAATTAAAATAGGGATTTATATACTAAGTGGTTAAAAATTACAATGAGAAATGTATACTAATGTGAGGTAACTTTAAGAAAACTTATTATTTGTGCCTTAACTATATTTTGCAAACAAAGCTAGATTGTTGACTATGATTGATTAACATATTATTGAATGAAACTATGAAATACACAGACGATAGAGATAAATTGTGATCTAATTTAACAAATATGGGAAATGATGATTATTATGAAACATAATGAGAATTAACTTTGATGAATATGCTGAGACAAGATCAAATAGATAATTATGATGTAAGGGAAAAATAAAATAATGAGGTGAAGGATACTAACTAGATAAGAGTTAGAGACTCGGAGGAAATAAGTGGGAAAATAATTAAATGCTGGAAATCAGCCAAACAATGGTAGGAGAGATGGAGGAGATTATGCTGGAAATCAGACAATAAATTGCTGGAAATCAGCCAAACAATAGGAGGAGAGTAGGAGAAAAATATGCTGGAAATCAGCCAAACAATGGAAGGAGTCTGGAGGAGATTATGCTAGAAATTAGTCAAATAAAATATGCTGGAAATCAGCCAAACAATGGAAGGAGTTCTGGAGGAGATTATGCTAGAAATTAGCTAAATAAAATACGCTGGAAGTCAGCCAAACATTGGAGGGAGTCTGGGAGAAGATCATGCTAGAAATTAGTCAAATACAATATGCTGGAAATCAGCCAATAATGTTGGGAGATCAGGAGGAGATAATACTGGGAATAATCTCAAGAGTTGATAACTTGGAGAAGAAATAAGCAATATGTTTTTTTTGTGATAAAACTGTAATATGTGGGATATTTAATTGGAAAGTTCAAGATATTTTGATTTGATAAAAAGGGTCAAATAACTAAGATGTCGACAAAATTGTGTTTTATAAATTTTAACAAAATGGAGATGTATTGAAATTGAACTTGATAATTTTGGTGATAAAATTGTAAGGTATATAATTAGAATAAGAGACTAGAATGTTGTTAATAATTATTTGGATATTGATGAGATATAGATACAGAGATAACGAGTTAAAATTTAATTCGAAGTCAAAACTGTAGTGATATATTAGATTTGTTTAGATGAAAGTGTTAGAATTTTATGTTTAGATTGTTTTTTTTTCTTTTTTTCTCTCTGTTTTAAGTTTTAAATTGTTTTAAATTTTTAAAAAATGTAAAGGAAAAGTGGAATAGAGCATGTTAAAAGAATGTAAGCATGTTGGCATCTATGACCGGATTGAAACTCTGTTCTTGAAAGTTAGATTTTATGTTTATTTTTGGGAAAAAATAAAAAAAACATTTACAAAAAAAAAAAAGACAACATATGTCGTTGCAACACAAAGCAAGACAAAATATGTTGCTGAGTAGGACAACTGCAACAGGTAAAAACATCCTGTCCCTGAACATCTTCCCAATCCCTCTGCAGTAATGACCCAGGGCCCAAGGATGACCACAAGACTCAATGTCAACCTTTGCTGGTCACCACAGTGATCTCTTTCTTCTAAATGAAACTGTGCTACTTAGAAGACCATAAAGGGGGACTGGAATTAATGTAAGAGGAAAAAAGAAAAGATGAAATCATTTTTAATAAGTTACGTACATATCTAAGTTGTAAATAAAGAATCTAGTGACAGCTTGCTCTGACTTAAATTGTCCTCCAGAGGAACCCTTACCTAAAGAGGCCACCATCCTAGACGTTTCCAGCATGACTTCTTGATACAGGACTTTCTGGCTGGGATCAAGCAGCAACCACTCTTCACTATTGAAATGGATGGCCACCTCCCCAAAAGACACAGGACCCTAAAGAAGGAAGGAGCCCTGTGAGAAGACTCAATAGAATTTGCAAGATCTCCTTCAATCTGAAAAACCTGAGAGCACAAAGTGAAATTTCTTGGACATTTCCCTAGTTGGACTCAACATAGTATATGATAAACAGGGCAGCATTCACATCACTTCGACTGACTCTGCTGACCTTCAATGTCAGCAAACTTCCTTGATCAAGTGGCATAGTGTGCCTTAGACACACCATCTACCAGTGGCCCCAATATTCCATTATGTTTGCAAGAGATTCCGTGGGATTTCTGTCTGACATAGTAACCTAATGGTCTTTGTGGTTCTTTGAACGGTCAACCTTGCTCACTCTCATGAACTTTCATGAAAATACTAGGAAGGCACTTCCAGCCATCAAAATGCAATTCATCAAGAGAGAAAGAGAAGAGAGAATATAACTTTGTCACTTTGAATGTATGCTAATCGGTATACATTAAAATGAAATTTTGTTGTATACAGCCCTCAAGGTTCTCCACCTCTAATAATTAAATACAAAATTATGCATATACCCACATATATGACACAAAGAAACAACACAGTTTAGTTTGGATGTATTCTTGGCGAGAGAAACAAATCTTTGAAGCTTACCAGACGGATGGCATAGGGAACAAAGCTGTTACAGAATTTGGTAGTACTGTTAGAAATATTTTGAAACCTCCTCCTAGAGGAGAGCAACAAAATGTTAAGTGTGTGTGTGTGGTCTCTAACAATATTTTGAGCTCAAAGCACATAGCGCTTATAAGCAGTATCCTGAATGACAGGAAGTGAGCCTCCTATAATCTTCTCGGCTGTCCTCACCACTCTCTGTATGGACTTTCTCTGTAAGGCACTGCAGCCACCAAAGCAAACAGTGAACTAGTTTGTTAAAATACTCTCCATCGTGCCCCTGTAAAAGATGGCGAGAGATAGAAGGAGAAACATGTGCTCTTCTCATCCGACAAAGGAAATGCAGATGCCGGTTTGCACACTTCATTATGTGAAGAGAATAGTTCAGATTCTTTGTTATCTGCATCCCCAACACTTAATACTGTTGACCATGTCTACAGCTGCATCCTTGATACAGAGTGGAGTATGAACAGTCCGGATGTTTCTAAAATCTACGATGATCTCCTTCATTTTATTAACATTTCTGCTTCTCCTGTTTTTATCCCTTTCACCAAAGATAGGAAAACAAGATTATACTTACAATAAAGTAGATTTAGCCTAAATATTCATGTCTCCTGTCTGCTTTACTAGGGATAGGCAACATGAAGTGCCATGTGGCATTATTTGAAACCAGAATTATACTGTACAACTAGTAAGGAATTCCATAGATCACCAAATCTTTGTTGAGAGGTGGGCCTAGTTTGACTGACCATAAATTTAAATTTCTAATTTTCTTGCTGTGCACTTTGCTCAAGAATAGCATATCATATGCTGAGTCCCCAAAGAAAACTAGAGGTCTCCTACTGCTCCCCCATATTAGCTCTTCCTTCCTACCTGATTTGGAAGTCCAGCAGCTCTTTCAGCTCCAGCAATAGAAGATGATTCAATGAACAACGGTGACTCCATTTTGTCCACTGGGAAAGAGAGAGACAGGAAAGGGTTCAACTTCATCTTTTCTACCTTGAAGGCACAATTTAAGATTTCTTCCTGTCCTGCCCAGGAAACCTCCATTTTTCTGTCTTCCAATATCTGCCTTTCATAGGCTCCATCATGGGAGCCAAGAATAAAAGGAGAAGACCAAACCCACCACATGCTGAAGAACAAACCTCAGTTAGATTGTTGTCCTAACCTTTTGGAACAACACATGCAAATTTATACTCTTGGCAACCAAAGCATTTGCTCAATCACTGTAAATTCTTCCCCCTCTCTCTGCAGTTTGAAATTAGTGATATTCTAGCAACCCAGGAAACATGCCTGCAAGGACAGTGTTGGAAATGGCCCAGCAGAGATCTGTGTAGGAATTTAGTCAAAACTTCTCTTAAGTAAAGCCAAAAACAAAGAAATCTCTCAGGATGGAGGAGGCGCCAGAATGCAACTCAAGGTGTTCCCTACAAGAGTTGGTCTTCTGGGAAAGGCCAACCACATGCTTGCTTGCTCTGAAGGGAGGGAATTCCTTTGTGCCCCTTAAGTCTTCTAGCTTGAAGAGGGAGTTCGATCTTTCTTATTGGGTCACTTTCTACTAAGTCCAACGACTAAGACACGAGAAGACGCAGAGAATTAAGGATAAGTAGAATCTTCCTAGAAAGTCTCCAATCCAGTGGAACAGTCTGCCCTTACCTAGTGAGGTATCCTGACCTTGACTTTTATCCTTGGGGATCCCTCTGAAAGAAAAATCAGTAGAAATATTTGTGAGATCCACCCAATTCCTCCCCATTCCTGGAAGAACCTCAGAACCTGAAATATAAGCGGAGAAGAGCAGTTAAGAGGACAGGACAAGAGGATCTGGATTTTATTTTCTGCCCACAAAACCCTTCTGTCCATCAGTGGGAGAATCGCTCCAAACGACCGACTCTTTCCAAGAACGCAGGAACAATTTCGTTAATGAGTTTCTCTAAATATCTACTCGCATTCTTAACCTCCAAAACTCCATCAGAGAGAAATGGAAGACTTCAAGCAGGTGAAGATCCCTTCAGATTCCACAAAAGAAGCTTCTCTGACCTGCAGCTCTTCCTGCTTCTCCTCTTCTCTGCCAGGCTCAGAAGGGACCTTCCAGCCACTGGCACCGCTGGCTCTCCAAAGATCCTTCCAGTCTTCCAGGAATCGGAATCTGAAGGAGATGTGAGCAGGGGGTTCCTTTAAGCTTCCTTCTCTCCTCCCCCCTCCTTGGATCTCCCCATGCACAGCCAAGAGCAATTCTGGGGCAGATTTCCCGCTCCCTCCAATGTCCTTCCCTCCCCCCTGGGGTGGATCTGATGACGGGATCCCGTCTTGCCCGCCCCCACCGGATTCCCAGGGAACAACTCGCAGCCTGAACCTCCCAACCACGCAGACGGAGTTGCGCATGCGCAGCGGACTAGTCAGTCGGGGCAGCCAAGAGCGCGCCCCCTGCTGGCACCTGGGGGGAAATGGCGGCCGTGGGGGCAGCTTTGGAGGCTTTGCAGGACAGCCTCTGCCCGGAGCTGCAGCTGCCCTTCAGAGCGAGCTGTGCAAGCGGCATCCGGGAGAAGCCAGGCGGAGATCGTGGGCCTCCCCGGGTCCTGGGTCGTCTCTTCTTCTCTGTATCTCGCACACAATACAATAGAACAGAACAGAACAGAATTCTTGATTGGCCAAGCGTGATTGACGCACAAGGAATTGGTCTTTGGTGCATAAGCTCTCAGTGTACATAAAAGAAAAGCTACGTTCGCCAAGAATCATCAGGTACAACACTGAATGATAGTCATAGTCAGAAATTCGGCCTGGAGACAGATGCCTCAACGGAAGGGAGGCTTCCCATTGGCGAACCGGATCCCTTAGAAGCCAACCCCGAAGTACCCCTGTCAAGCCCCCCCCCCAATTCCACTTCTCCCCTCTTGTGGGAAGCCTCCGTGGGCTCCGCCTGTTGCTGCTGCTGGTGGGGACGTTGGCCGGGAGGGGGGAAAGGAGGGCCCAGGGGAAGGCTGGGGGGGAGGACCATTGAGGCTGGTGGGGGCCGGGGAGAGAAGGGGACTGGGGATATCCCTCCCCTCCATGGAAGACGTGAGCGGGATGGGAGCTTTCGAGACTCCTCCCCTTTCCTCTTGGCCACGCCCCTCCCAGTGACTCCCAGAAGCAGCAGGAAAAGGGGTTCCGAGAGGGGTGGGAGGAGCCTATTCTGGCGGGAAGAGCGGAGAGACAGATAGTCACAGCTCTGAGGAAAGGCCACCATGGGGGGGGTCTTTGGGGTCCTCAGGAGGGACTCAACTTCTCCTTTCTCTGGGTCAGAGACAGAATTGGGCCTCCTTCTCGTCCCCTCTTCTCCCTCCGCCCCCCAGGAGACCTTCTCACACCCGTCGCTGAGGCGAGTGACTTGGAAGAGCCTCACACTGGATCCCCTTCAGCCCTCAGACTCCACTCTCCCCCAAAGACCCTTCAGCATAACCATGGCGTTTCTTATTTACAAAGGGAAAGAGTGGAATTGCTGGCTGAAGAATATATTGGATGGATTTATTCCACTAATACATGAATGGTATTAAATGGGAAACTATATGTAGAAGCTGCCTGGACCTTCTTCCCCACAACTACAAATCCTTAAAAGGCCAAAAATACCTTCCAAGTTGCAGAAAGAGGCAAAAGGCTGAAATTTTCTGGTTCCCCTTTGAGTCCTCTGGTGCAAAGGAAGAAGAGAAATTTGGCTGAGGCACTTTCAATGCTGCATGGATTATCTCCAGATGTAAAATTATATAATTAGGAAAATATTACTAAAAATGCCAAGATTTTATAATGAGGAATGTTCCCACGTATTGTAGGCTACAGTGTCTCGTTTGCTTCTTTCATAGATAAACCTACCTTGCTAATGCTATTCTCATTCCATGGTTTTCAATGCGTCATTGTGCAACGTAAAACTGAGTCAGATCTGAAGTCATTCCACCCCCTTCTAGCACTTTCTAACATTTTATTTCACTCTCCCCCTCCTACGTATTCACCTGGTGTCTTCATTTAGTTTTATTGTTCAATGTGTATAAAGTAGGGCATCCTTTAAATTGCGCAGAAACTGTTTATTAACCTTTCACAATGAGAAAGGTGGTTAATAATGAGGAAATGTTTTTAAGAAATATATTAAGATCAAAAATACAGTCACAATCATGCTAGTAAAAGTTTTCTCCAAAACCATAGCAACCTGACATGTCAACTATGATTGATCTTTCTGATGAACTTGGTATCAGAAAATGAAATGCAGGCAGTAAAGTGGCATTTGAAAATCTTGAGAAATAGAAAATACGGTAATGATTAATCTGAGAAACTGAACAATGAATAATTTAAATCAAGAAATTAAAAAACTTTTTAAAAAAATATTGCGCATATGGTACACTGTTGGATCAATAAAACCATTTTTAAAGTCCCTTTTAGCTGGTTGAATAGAGTAGGGTAGGGTAGAGTAAGAGTAGAGTAGAGTAGAGAGGCTAGACTAGACTGAGCTGGATGAGATCTTGGAGGCCTTCAAGCCTAGACCCCTACTCAAGGAGAACATATACTGTTTCAGACAAGTGACTGAAAAATCTCCACTGATGAAGCACCCACAACGTCTGAAAGCAAGTTGTTCCATTGGTTCATTGTCCTCACTGTTAGGAAGTTTCTCTTTAATTCCAGGTTGCTTCTCCCCTTGAGTAGTTTCCATCGGTTGCTTCTTGTCCTGCCCTCTGGTGCTTTGATTGAACTGTGATATTGATGTCAATCGCATTGGCCCTCAGCTTATTATGGGTCATATGCATCCTTTGTCACTGCGTTCTTGTATTTCCCAGCTGAGCTTCATATTTTTGGACTAATAGACTTACTGTAGTTTGCCAAGTTCCTGATCAGTTTTCTTTACTGCGCATGTCCTATATTCCATTCCTTTATTACTACTCTTTCCTTTGTTCTCTCTGCCAGGAATGATCTTGGCAGAGGAACGCTGCCAAGATGTAGCTAATTAGATAGATAGATGTTTTTGTTACTTTTTACAAATAAAAGAGTTTTATTAGAGAATACTTCTTCGGGTTTTATTTCAGAATATTGCAACTTGGAGAAAGCCACGGTCCATCCTCTAATTAATGGTGAGATTATCCCAGAGCCAAAAATGGGATTAAATCATGCCCTGACATCCTTGCCTTGCTTTGTTTTGCTTGCATACACCACCTCTTCACAAAGCCTGGAGGCTGATCCCAGACTCAGTTCAGATAAAAAAATAATTAAAGATAAAGCAGCTTGACCAAGCAGAGGTTGTGATCTTTTGGGAGAAAAGAGAGGGGCAATTGTTTTAACAGTTTTTCTTGAGTGACACCTTAACTGAATAGGTAATATCTTTTGATTTAAGAACTTCATCCTAGGAGCTTCCCAAAATCAATCCATTTATTCAGTTGCTCCTACAGCAATCTTCTGAAAGAAGATGTCATTGTTTTTACACTCCATATCTTTAGATGGTTTCATATCACAAATTAAGGATACTGCAGTCCCTTAAAGAGATCTCCCTCCCACCCTGTATGTAGTCCTGATCCGGGTCATATTAATAAGGTAAATAAGTTGACTGCTTTCCACAGGATATTTCCCCCCCCCCTGTGGGTTCTTTCTTGAGAAGCATCCTGTTTTCACATTTCTACATTTAGAAATCCATACATTTCTATTTCCCTCCTGTGTAGATCCTCTTATGGGAACTAAGGTGACTTAGTTGCACTAGTACAATTTCTTCCGTGTCTGGGTATTAATGTAGTAAGGGACTGGCTTGTACTCAAACTCTTCCCAGATTCATTGCATACAGATGATTCTTCTCCTGTGTGGATCCTGTTATGGGAAGTAAGGGAACGCTTATCACAGAAGCCCTTCCCACATTCCAGGCATTTATAAGGTTTCTCTCCTGTGTGGGTCCTTTTATGATAAATCAGATGGCCACTTGTAACGAAGGTCTTTCCACAGCCTGTGCACTTATAAGGTTTTTCCCCTGTATGCATCCGGTTATGGCAACTAAATTGACTGTTTTGGCTGAAACTCTTCCCACACTCTAGACATTTATAAGGCTTCTCTCCTGTGTGGATTCTTTCATGACAAGTAAGAGCACTCTTTACACTGAAGCTCTTTCCACACTCCAAGCATTTATAGGGTTTTTCCCCTGTGTGGACCCGTTTATGGGAAGCAAGGGCACAGCTTTGGCTGAAGCCCTTCCCACAGTCTAGGCATTTATAGGGTTTTTCTCCTGTGTGGACCCGTTTATGAGAAGTAAGGCTACTGCTTCGGCTGAAGCCCTTCCCACAGTCTAGGCATTTATAGGGTTTTTCTCCTGTGTGGATCCGTTTATGAGAAGTAAGAGCATTCTTTACCCTGAAGCTCTTTCCACACTCCATGCATGTATAGGGTTTCTCTCCTGTATGGACCCGTTTATGACACGCAAGGTTACTGTTTGTCCTGAAGGGTTTTCCACACTCAGTGCATTTATAAGGTTTTTCACCTGAGTGGATCCTTTTGTGGGATGTCAGATGATATCTATTTCTGTAGCTCTTTCCACACTCTATACACTTACAGGGTTTCTCGCCTGTATGAATCTTTTGATGGGAAGCAAGGCCACCACTTTGTCTAAAGCTCTTCCCACATTCTATGCATTTAAAAGGTTTCTCTCCAGTATGCATCCTTTTATGGTAAGTAAGGGAATTCTTTATACTGAAACTTTTTCCACAGTCTACACATTTATAGGGTTTTTCTCCAGTATGCATCCTTTTATGGTAAGTAAGGGAATTCTTTATACTGAAACTTTTTCCACAGTCTACACATTTATAGGGTTTTTCTCCAGTATGCATCCTTTTATGGTAAGTAAGGGAATTCTTTATACTGAAACTTTTTCCACAGTCTACACATTTATATGGTTTTTCTCCTGAATGGATCCTTCTATGGCATATCAGGTAACTACTAGTGCTGAAGCTCTTCCCACATTCTATGCATGTAAAGCGTTTTTCTCCAGTATGCATCCTTTTATGGAACATAAGGGAATTCTTCCTACTGAACCTTTTCCCACAGTCTACACATTTATAGGGTTTTTCTCCTGAATGGATCCTTCTATGGTCTATCAGGTCACTACTAATTCTGAAGCTCTTCCCACATTCTATGCATTTAAAGGATTTTTCACTATGTATCCTTTTATGGGAAGTAAGGGAACCCTTCACACGGAACCTTTGTCCACAATCCACACATTTATAGGGTTTTTCCCCTGAATGGATCCTTTTATGGCATATCAGGTAACTACTAGTTGTGAAGCTCTTCCCACATTCTATGCATTTAAAAGGTTTCTCTCCAGTATGCATCCTTTTATGGTAAGTAAGGGAATTCTTCCTACTGAAACTTTTTCCACAGTCTACACATTTATAGGGTTTTTCTCCAGTATGCATCCTTTTATGGTAAGTAAGGGAATTCTTTATACTGAAACTTTTTCCACAGTCTACACATTTATAGGGTTTTTCTCCAGTATGCATCCTTTTATGGTAAGTAAGGGAATTCTTTATACTGAAACTTTTTCCACAGTCTACACATTTATATGGTTTTTCTCCTGAATGGATCCTTCTATGGCATATCAGGTAACTACTAGTGCTGAAGCTCTTCCCACATTCTATGCATTTAAAGGGTTTTTCTCCACTATGTCTCCTTTTGTGGGAGGTTAGATAAATGTTGTCTCTGAAGCTCTTTCCACACTCTAGGCACTTATAGAGTGTTTCTGTGGTGTGGATCTTTTTATGAGAAGTTAAATTACCTTTCCACCCAACACTTTCTCCACAGTCCATAGCATTGTAGGGTTTCTCCCTTGCCTGGATCATTTTATGTGAAGTAAGATTATTACTGCAGGAGCTTTTTCCAGTTTTGCACTGGTTACTAGCATTGGGGTTTGTTTTGAATCTTTTTCTACTTTGACATTTCCCCGTATTTTCTTTGGAATCACGTTGGGTCAGGAAATGATCCATTTCCACACATTCAAGAATCGATTTTTCTCTCCAACTGTGCTTATTTGTAGATGTCTCCTCAGGAATTTCAGTTTTGATTATTTCCAATGGCACTAAATTTGTCTCTTGGTTATTTTCCTTCTGCGCATCAAATGCTTGTGGGGGAAGAAAAATAAATTAGAATAATGTACAACATACGATTTGCTGTCCCAATGCATAGATTTATCTAATACTGGCCATCTGCATAAATACCTTATGCCAGCAGACTTGAAATTCTGGGCTTAGAAAATTTAGAACTACACCGCCTTTGGTATGACCTAAGTGTAGCTCATAAAATTAACTGCTACAATGTCCTACCCGTCAAGAACTACTTCACTTTCAACCACAACAATACAGAACACACAATAGATACAAACTTAAAAGTGAACTGCTCCGAACTCGATTGCAGAAAATATGACTTCAGCAACAGAGTGGTCAATGCCAGGAATGCACTACCTGATTTTGTGGTTTCATCCCCAACCCCCCAAAATTTTAACCTAAGACTGTCTACTGTTGACCTCACCCCATTCCTAAGAGGTCTGTAAGGGGCGTGCATAAGAGCACCAGTGTGCCTACCGTTCCTGTTTTCCTGTCCTTGGTGTATTTCGCTGTGCCCTCAAGACCCTGCTGTTCCGCCAAGCCGGGCTATCAATTTAATGATTTTTCAATTGGGTTTTAAATTTTTGGGGTTTTAAATTTTAGCCAAATTGTGTAATAATTTTAATTATTTTTAACTGATGTTTGTCTTTGTGTTTTTTAATAGGCTGTACACCGCCCTGAGTCCTTCGGGAGAAGGGCGGTATAGAAATAAAATTATTTATTTATTTATTTAATGTTCCCTTTATTTGTATTCATTTTATATATTCAATTCATGCTTATACTTATATATATATTATCTAATACGTACTTGACAAATAATTAGTGATTATTTATTATTATGAATATTGGTTACTAACATCTAACCCTCATTCTTGGCAGTTAAAAGGATAAAGCAAAAACACATCTGGACATCAGGATGTGGCATACAAATTGTCTCAACTATGAGACACCCAACTTGCATTCAATAAGACAACATATGTCGGACTTCCGGTCCGGAGCGGCGGCGCCACAGTCGGGGAATTACTGGGCTCCAACGAGCCCGCTGAAACCCCGACTGACAAACTGCTGTCCGACCGGTCTTCTTGTAGGGATGGGGGGTGAAGAGGAGCGCATCGGAGGGCCAAGAGGAACAGGCAAGTTCCTCGGAGGCAAGAGGGAATCCTCAAAATCGGCGGCAGGGGTAGGCAGCCATGGCGGCTGCCACAAAGCTGCGGCAGATCGGGACACAAGATCGTGCAGGAGGAAGAAGAAAGAACGAGCGTTTCAAACCCGGGTGAGTGACGCCAACCCAGGCAAATAATGGGATTATTTGGAGTATCTTTTAAAATAAGACCCCAATTTTAAACTGCGGTTACAGATCCGTGGGGCTTGAAGATTTAAAAGAAAGGGGGGAAAAAATGGAGACCCAAGACAAACTTTGCATTAATTAATTTGGCTAGAAGAACTTGTTTTCAATAATGTGGAAAATTGGATTCTTTTTTTTTATTATTTTTCTGGTGTGGATTGAAGAAATACTTCTCGGGGAATTTAAATCTGTGAAAGCTAACCAAGTTAATGAAGATTGACAGACGGATGGCTACAAAATTGCCATGAAGTCTGCGGTGACTAAGCAGGAGAGTGGATAGAAGAGATTTTACTTTCTACTTGGAAAAGAAATATTCTAAATGGCTTTCTATTTTGGATTATTATGATTATTTTGGATTTAACATTAGACTAATGGATTTGGGAAATCTTTATCCTGTTCTGCGTGATTTTAAGAAGAAAGATCTTGGACCTTTTCTACAATGGAAATTTACAGATTTAGCAAAAAGAAGGTGTGGCGCAGGAACAAAGACAGGAAGTGAACACATCATGTTTGAAGCAGACATTTATAAGAGCACTAAAGTGATACACAGAACTTTTAATTTGAATAGATGAACTTTGAAGTGGAATATGTGGACAGACAGGAAAAAGAAGAAATAAAATAGATTTAAATTAAATGAAACTAAATTGTAATGTAATGCTTAAAAGCCTAAAGGAATAAAAGGGTTTTGTTTTTTTTTCTTGTGGATTAAACAGGAAGGTTTTTGGAAAGGGAAAAATAATAAATGGCAATTAAAATAGGGATTTATATACTAAGTGGTTAAAAATTACAATGAGAAATGTATACTAATGTGAGGTAACTTTAAGAAAACTTATTATTTGTGCCTTAACTATATTTTGCAAACAAAGCTAGATTGTTGACTATGATTGATTAACATATTATTGAATGAAACTATGAAATACACAGACGATAGAGATAAATTGTGATCTAATTTAACAAATATGGGAAATGATGATTATTATGAAACATAATGAGAATTAACTTTGATGAATATGCTGAGACAAGATCAAATAGATAATTATGATGTAAGGGAAAAATAAAATAATGAGGTGAAGGATACTAACTAGATAAGAGTTAGAGACTCGGAGGAAATAAGTGGGAAAATAATTAAATGCTGGAAATCAGCCAAACAATAGGAGGAGAGTAGGAGAAAAATATGCTGGAAATCAGCCAAACAATGGAAGGAGTCTGGAGGAGATTATGCTAGAAATGAGTCAAATAAAATATGCTGGAAGTCAGCCAAGCAATAGGAGGAGAGTTGGAGAAAAATATGCTGGAAATCAGCCAAACAATGGAAGGAGTTCTGGAGGAGATTATGCTAGAAATTAGCTAAATAAAATACGCTGGAAGTCAGCCAAACATTGGAGGGAGTCTGGGAGAAGATCATGCTAGAAATTAGTCAAATACAATATGCTGGAAATCAGCCAATAATGTTGGGAGATCAGGAGGAGATAATACTGGGAATAATCTCAAGAGTTGATAACTTGGAGAAGAAATAAGCAATATGTTTTTTTTGTGATAAAACTGTAATATGTGGGATATTTAATTGGAAAGTTCAAGATATTTTGATTTGATAAAAAGGGTCAAATAACTAAGATGTCGACAAAATTGTGTTTTATAAATTTTAACAAAATGGAGATGTATTGAAATTGAACTTGATAATTTTGGTGATAAAATTGTAAGGTATATAATTAGAATAAGAGACTAGAATGTTGTTAATAATTATTTGGATATTGATGAGATATAGATACAGAGATAACGAGTTAAAATTTAATTCGAAGTCAAAACTGTAGTGATATATTAGATTTGTTTAGATGAAAGTGTTAGAATTTTATGTTTAGATTGTTTTTTTTTTCTTTTTTTCTCTCTGTTTTAAGTTTTAAATTGTTTTAAATTTTTAAAAAATGTAAAGGAAAAGTGGAATAGAGCATGTTAAAAGAATGTAAGCATGTTGGCATCTATGACCGGATTGAAACTCTGTTCTTGAAAGTTAGATTTTATGTTTATGTTTGGGAAAAAATAAAAAAAACATTTACAAAAAAAAAAAAGACAACATATGTCGTTGCAACACAAAGCAAGACAAAATATGTTGCTGAGTAGGACAACTGCAACAGGTAAAAACATCCTGTCCCTGAACATCTTCCCAATCCCTCTGCAGTAATGACCCAGGGCCCAAGGATGACCACAAGACTCAATGTCAACCTTTGCTGGTCACCACAGTGATCTCTTTCTTCTAAATGAAACTGTGCTACTTAGAAGACCATAAAGGGGGACTGGAATTAATGTAAGAGGAAAAAAGAAAAGATGAAATCATTTTTAATAAGTTACGTACATATCTAAGTTGTAAATAAAGAATCTAGTGACAGCTTGCTCTGACTTAAATTGTCCTCCAGAGGAACCCTTACCTAAAGAGGCCACCATCCTAGACGTTTCCAGCATGACTTCTTGATACAGGACTTTCTGGCTGGGATCAAGCAGCAACCACTCTTCACTATTGAAATGGATGGCCACCTCCCCAAAAGACACAGGACCCTAAAGAAGGAAGGAGCCCTGTGAGAAGACTCAATAGAATTTGCAAGATCTCCTTCAATCTGAAAAACCTGAGAGCACAAAGTGAAATTTCTTGGACATTTCCCTAGTTGGACTCAACATAGTATATGATAAACAGGGCAGCATTCACATCACTTCGACTGACTCTGCTGACCTTCAATGTCAGCAAACTTCCTTGATCAAGTGGCATAGTGTGCCTTAGACACACCATCTACCAGTGGCCCCAATATTCCATTATGTTTGCAAGAGATTCCGTGGGATTTCTGTCTGACATAGTAACCTAATGGTCTTTGTGGTTCTTTGAACGGTCAACCTTGCTCACTCTCATGAACTTTCATGAAAATACTAGGAAGGCACTTCCAGCCATCAAAATGCAATTCATCAAGAGAGAAAGAGAAGAGAGAATATAACTTTGTCACTTTGAATGTATGCTAATCGGTATACATTAAAATGAAATTTTGTTGTATACAGCCCTCAAGGTTCTCCACCTCTAATAATTAAATACAAAATTATGCATATACCCACATATATGACACAAAGAAACAACACAGTTTAGTTTGGATGTATTCTTGGCGAGAGAAACAAATCTTTGAAGCTTACCAGACGGATGGCATAGGGAACAAAGCTGTTACAGAATTTGGTAGTACTGTTAGAAATATTTTGAAACCTCCTCCTAGAGGAGAGCAACAAAATGTTAAGTGTGTGTGTGTGGTCTCTAACAATATTTTGAGCTCAAAGCACATAGCGCTTATAAGCAGTATCCTGAATGACAGGAAGTGAGCCTCCTATAATCTTCTCGGCTGTCCTCACCACTCTCTGTATGGACTTTCTCTGTAAGGCACTGCAGCCACCAAAGCAAACAGTGAACTAGTTTGTTAAAATACTCTCCATCGTGCCCCTGTAAAAGATGGCGAGAGATAGAAGGAGAAACATGTGCTCTTCTCATCCGACAAAGGAAATGCAGATGCCGGTTTGCACACTTCATTATGTGAAGAGAATAGTTCAGATTCTTTGTTATCTGCATCCCCAACACTTAATACTGTTGACCATGTCTACAGCTGCATCCTTGATACAGAGTGGAGTATGAACAGTCCGGATGTTTCTAAAATCTACGATGATCTCCTTCATTTTATTAACATTTCTGCTTCTCCTGTTTTTATCCCTTTCACCAAAGATAGGAAAACAAGATTATACTTACAATAAAGTAGATTTAGCCTAAATATTCATGTCTCCTGTCTGCTTTACTAGGGATAGGCAACATGAAGTGCCATGTGGCATTATTTGAAACCAGAATTATACTGTACAACTAGTAAGGAATTCCATAGATCACCAAATCTTTGTTGAGAGGTGGGCCTAGTTTGACTGACCATAAATTTAAATTTCTAATTTTCTTGCTGTGCACTTTGCTCAAGAATAGCATATCATATGCTGAGTCCCCAAAGAAAACTAGAGGTCTCCTACTGCTCCCCCATATTAGCTCTTCCTTCCTACCTGATTTGGAAGTCCAGCAGCTCTTTCAGCTCCAGCAATAGAAGATGATTCAATGAACAACGGTGACTCCATTTTGTCCACTGGGAAAGAGAGAGACAGGAAAGGGTTCAACTTCATCTTTTCTACCTTGAAGGCACAATTTAAGATTTCTTCCTGTCCTGCCCAGGAAACCTCCATTTTTCTGTCTTCCAATATCTGCCTTTCATAGGCTCCATCATGGGAGCCAAGAATAAAAGGAGAAGACCAAACCCACCACATGCTGAAGAACAAACCTCAGTTAGATTGTTGTCCTAACCTTTTGGAACAACACATGCAAATTTATACTTTTGGCAACCAAAGCATTTGCTCAATCACTGTAAATTCTCCCCCCTCTCTCTGCAGTTTGAAATTAGTGATATTCTAGCAACCCAGGAAACATGCCTGCAAGGACAGTGTTGGAAATGGCCCAGCAGAGATCTGTGTAGGAATTTAGTCAAAACTTCTCTTAAGTAAAGCCAAAAACAAAGAAATCTCTCAGGATGGAGGAGGCGCCAGAATGCAACTCAAGGTGTTCCCTACAAGAGTTGGTCTTCTGGGAAAGGCCAACCACATGCTTGCTTGCTCTGAAGGGAGGGAATTCCTTTGTGCCCCTTAAGTCTTCTAGCTTGAAGAGGGAGTTCGATCTTTCTTATTGGGTCACTTTCTACTAAGTCCAACGACTAAGACACGAGAAGACGCAGAGAATTAAGGATAAGTAGAATCTTCCTAGAAAGTCTCCAATCCAGTGGAACAGTCTGCCCTTACCTAGTGAGGTATCCTGACCTTGACTTTTATCCTTGGGGATCCCTCTGAAAGAAAAATCAGTAGAAATATTTGTGAGATCCACCCAATTCCTCCCCATTCCTGGAAGAACCTCAGAACCTGAAATATAAGCGGAGAAGAGCAGTTAAGAGGACAGGACAAAAGAGGATCTGGATTTTATTTTCTGCCCACAAAACCCTTCTGTCCATCAGTGGCGATGGATGAGACCCAATGGGAGAATCGCTCCAAACGACCGACTCTTTCCAAGAACGCAGGAACAATTTCCTTAATGAGTTTCTCTAAATATCTACTCGCATTCTTAACCTCCAAAACTCCATCAGAGAGAAATGGAAGACTTCAAGCAGGTGAAGATCCCTTCAGATTCCACAAAAGAAGCTTCTCTGACCTGCAGCTCTTCCTGCTTCTCCTCTTCTCTGCCAGGCTCAGAAGGGACCTTCCAGCCACTGGCACCGCTGGCTCTCCAAAGATCCTTCCAGTCTTCCAGGAATCGGAATCTGAAGGAGATGTGAGCAGGGGGTTCCTTTAAGCTTCCTTCTCTCCTCCCCCCTCCTTGGATCTCCCCATGCACAGCCAAGAGCAATTCTGGGGCAGATTTCCCGCTCCCTCCAATGTCCTTCCCTCCCCCCTGGGGTGGATCTGATGACGGGATCCCGTCTTGCCCGCCCCCACCGGATTCCCAGGGAACAACTCGCAGCCTGAACCACCCAACCACGCGGACGGAGTTGCGCATGCGCAGCGGGCTAGTCAGTCGGCAGCCAAGAGCGCGCCCCCTGCTGGCACCTGGGGGGAAATCGCGGCTGTAGGGGCAGCTTTGCAGGACAGCCTCTGCCCGGAGCTGCAGCTGCCCTTCAGAGCGAGCTGTGCAAGCGGCATCCGGGAGAAGCCAGGCGGAGATCGTGGGCCTCCCCGGGTCCTGGGGCAAAAGGCGGCTTGCAGAAAGTCAGGCGGAGGGGATGCCGCTTCCCTCCTTTGGGGACAATAGAACAGAACAGAACAGAATTCTTGATTGGCCAAGCGTGATTGACGCACAAGGAATTGGTCTTTGGTGCATAAGCTCTCAGTGTACATAAAAGAAAAGCTACGTTCGCCAAGAATCATCAGGTACAACACTGAATGATAGTCGTAGTCAGAAATTCGGCCTGGAGACAGATGCCTCAACGGAAGGGAGGCTTCCCATTGGCGAACCGGATCCCTTAGAAGCCAACCCCGAAGTACCCCTGTCAAGCCCCCCCCCAATTCCACTTCTCCCCTCTTGTGGGAAGCCTCCGTGGGCTCCGCCTGTTGCTGCTGCTGGTGGGGACGTTGGCCGGGAGGGGGGAAAGGAGGGCCCAGGGGAAGGCTGGGGGGGAGGACCATTGAGGCTGGTGGGGGCCGGGGAGAGAAGGGGACTGGGGATATCCCTCCCCTCCATGGAAGTCGTGAGTGGGATGGGAGCTTTCGAGACTCCTCCCCTTTCCTCTTGGCCACGCCCCTCCCAGTGTGACTCCCAGAAGCAGCAGGAAAAGGGAGGGGTGGGAGGAGCCTATTCTGGCGGGAAGAGCGGAGAGACAGATAGTCACAGCTCTGAGGAAAGGCCACTATGGGGGGGGGGTCTTTGGGGTCCTCAGGAGGGACTCAACTTCTCCTTTCTCTGGGTCAGAGACAGAATTGGGCCTCCTTCTGGTCCCCTCTTCTCCCTCCGCCCCCCAGGAGACCTTCTCACACCCGTCGCTGAGGCGAGTGACTTGGAAGAGCCTCACACTGGATTCCCTTCAGGCCCTCAGACTCCACTCTCCCCCAAAGACCCTTCAGCATAACCATGGCGTTTCTTATTTACAAAGGGAAAGAGTGGAATTGCTGGCTGAAGAATATATTGGATGGATTTATTCCACTAATACATGAATGGTATTAAATGCGAAACTATATGTAGAAGCTGCCTGGACCTTCTTCCCCACAACTACAAATCCTTAAAAGGCCAAAAATACCTTCCAAGTTGCAGAAAGAGGCAAAAGGCTGAAATTTTCTGGTTCCCCTTTGAGTCCTCTGGTGCAAAGGAAGAAGAGAAATTTGGCTGAGGCACTTTCAATGCTGCATGGATTATCTCCAGATGTAAAATTATATAATTAGGAAAATATTACTAAAAATGCCAAGATTTTATAATGAGGAATGTTCCCACGTATTGTAGGCTACAGTGTCTCGTTTGCTTCTTTCATAGATAAACCTACCTTGCTAATGCTATTCTCATTCCATGGTTTTCAATGCGTCATTGTGCAACGTAAAACTGAGTCAGATCTGAAGTCATTCCACCCCCTTCTAGCACTTTCTAACATTTTATTTCACTCTCCCCCTCCTACGTATTCACCTGGTGTCTTCATTTAGTTTTATTGTTCAATGTGTATAAAGTAGGGCATCCTTTAAATTGCGCAGAAACTGTTTATTAACCTTTCACAATGAGAAAGGTGGTTAATAATGAGGAAATGTTTTTAAGAAATATATTAAGATCAAAAATACAGTCACAATCATGCTAGTAAAAGTTTTCTCCAAAACCATAGCAACCTGACATGTCAACTATGATTGATCTTTCTGATGAACTTGGTATCAGAAAATGAAATGCAGGCAGTAAAGTGGCATTTGAAAATCTTGAGAAATAGAAAATACGGTAATGATTAATCTGAGAAACTGAACAATGAATAATTTAAATCAAGAAATTAAAAAAACTTTTAAAAAAAATATTGCGCATATGGTACACTGTTGGATCAATAAAACCATTTTTAAAGTCCCTTTTAGCTGGTTGAATAGAGTAGGGTAGGGTAGAGTAAGAGTAGAGTAGAGTAGAGAGGCTAGACTAGACTGAGCTGGATGAGATCTTGGAGGCCTTCAAGCCTAGACCCCTACTCAAGGAGAACATATACTGTTTCAGACAAGTGACTGAAAAATCTCCACTGATGAAGCACCCACAACGTCTGAAAGCAAGTTGTTCCATTGGTTCATTGTCCTCACTGTTAGGAAGTTTCTCTTTAATTCCAGGTTGCTTCTCCCCTTGAGTAGTTTCCATCGGTTGCTTCTTGTCCTGCCCTCTGGTGCTTTGATTGAACTGTGATATTGATGTCAATCGCATTGGCCCTCAGCTTATTATGGGTCATATGCATCCTTTGTCACTGCGTTCTTGTATTTCCCAGCTGAGCTTCATATTTTTGGACTAATAGACTTACTGTAGTTTGCCAAGTTCCTGATCAGTTTTCTTTACTGCGTATGTCCTATATTCCATTCCTTTATTACTACTCTTTCCTTTGTTCTCTCTGCCAGGAATGATCTTGGCAGAGGAACGCTGCCAAGATGTAGCTAATTAGATAGATAGATGTTTTTGTTACTTTTTACAAATAAAAGAGTTTTATTAGAGAATACTTCTTCGGGTTTTATTTCAGAATATTGCAACTTGGAGAAAGCCACGGTCCATCCTCTAATTAATGGTGAGATTATCCCAGAGCCAAAAATGGGATTAAATCATGCCCTGACATCCTTGCCTTGCTTTGTTTTGCTTGCATACACCACCTCTTCACAAAGCCTGGAGGCTGATCCCAGACTCAGTTCAGATAAAAAAATAATTAAAGATAAAGCAGCTTGACCAAGCAGAGGTTGTGATCTTTTGGGAGAAAAGAGAGGGGCAATTGTTTTAACAGTTTTTCTTGAGTGACACCTTAACTGAATAGGTAATATCTTTTGATTTAAGAACTTCATCCTAGGAGCTTCCCAAAATCATTCCATTTATTCAGTTGCTCCTACAGCAATCTTCTGAAAGAAGATGTCATTGTTTTTACACTCCATATCTTTAGATGGTTTCATATCACAAATTAAGGATACTGCAGTCCCTTAAAGAGATCTCCCTCCCACCCTGTATGTAGTCCTGATCCGGGTCATATTAATAAGGTAAATAAGTTGACTGCTTTCCACAGGATATTTCCCCCCCCCCTGTGGGTTCTTTCTTGAGAAGCATCCTGTTTTCACATTTCTACATTTAGAAATCCATACATTTCTATTTCCCTCCTGTGTAGATCCTCTTATGGGAACTAAGGTGACTTAGTTGCACTAGTACAATTTCTTCCGTGTCTGGGTATTAATGTAGTAAGGGACTGGCTTGTACTCAAACTCTTCCCAGATTCATTGCATACAGATGATTCTTCTCCTGTGTGGATCCTGTTATGGGAAGTAAGGGAACGCTTATCACAGAAGCCCTTCCCACATTCCAGGCATTTATAAGGTTTCTCTCCTGTGTGGGTCCTTTTATGATAAATCAGATGGCCACTTGTAACGAAGGTCTTTCCACAGCCTGTGCACTTATAAGGTTTTTCCCCTGTATGCATCCGGTTATGGCAACTAAATTGACTGTTTTGGCTGAAACTCTTCCCACACTCTAGACATTTATAAGGCTTCTCTCCTGTGTGGATTCTTTCATGACAAGTAAGAGCACTCTTTACACTGAAGCTCTTTCCACACTCCAAGCATTTATAGGGTTTTTCCCCTGTGTGGACCCGTTTATGGGAAGCAAGGGCACAGCTTTGGCTGAAGCCCTTCCCACAGTCTAGGCATTTATAGGGTTTTTCTCCTGTGTGGACCCGTTTATGAGAAGTAAGGCTACTGCTTCGGCTGAAGCCCTTCCCACAGTCTAGGCATTTATAGGGTTTTTCTCCTGTGTGGATCCGTTTATGAGAAGTAAGAGCATTCTTTACCCTGAAGCTCTTTCCACACTCCATGCATGTATAGGGTTTCTCTCCTGTATGGACCCGTTTATGACACGCAAGGTTACTGTTTGTCCTGAAGGGTTTTCCACACTCAGTGCATTTATAAGGTTTTTCACCTGAGTGGATCCTTTTGTGGGATGTCAGATGATATCTATTTCTGTAGCTCTTTCCACACTCTATACACTTACAGGGTTTCTCGCCTGTATGAATCTTTTGATGGGAAGCAAGGCCACCACTTTGTCTAAAGCTCTTCCCACATTCTATGCATTTAAAAGGTTTCTCTCCAGTATGCATCCTTTTATGGTAAGTAAGGGAATTCTTTATACTGAAACTTTTTCCACAGTCTACACATTTATAGGGTTTTTCTCCAGTATGCATCCTTTTATGGTAAGTAAGGGAATTCTTTATACTGAAACTTTTTCCACAGTCTACACATTTATAGGGTTTTTCTCCAGTATGCATCCTTTTATGGTAAGTAAGGGAATTCTTTATACTGAAACTTTTTCCACAGTCTACACATTTATATGGTTTTTCTCCTGAATGGATCCTTCTATGGCATATCAGGTAACTACTAGTGCTGAAGCTCTTCCCACATTCTATGCATGTAAAGCGTTTTTCTCCAGTATGCATCCTTTTATGGAACATAAGGGAATTCTTCCTACTGAACCTTTTCCCACAGTCTACACATTTATAGGGTTTTTCTCCTGAATGGATCCTTCTATGGTCTATCAGGTCACTACTAATTCTGAAGCTCTTCCCACATTCTATGCATTTAAAGGATTTTTCACTATGTATCCTTTTATGGGAAGTAAGGGAACCCTTCACACGGAACCTTTGTCCACAATCCACACATTTATAGGGTTTTTCCCCTGAATGGATCCTTTTATGGCATATCAGGTAACTACTAGTTGTGAAGCTCTTCCCACATTCTA